TGACCTGAGGAAATAAGCAAAGGGGCGCAAAGCTCAGGAAGAGAAAGCATTCCCAAGTCTTCTGCAACACTATGGAAAATTGCATTGCTTGTAAGAGACGGCATCAAATTCCAGAAACAGAAGGAACCTGAGAGACCTCCTCTCCAACATCCCTCACAGAAAAAAACAAAAACATAGCCCGTGCTTTAAAAATCCGCCAAAGGACTTCCATGGTGGTCCAGTGGTAAAGAATCCGCCTTCCAATGCAGGGGACGTGGGTTCCACCCCTGGTTAGGGAACTAAGATCCCACATGCTGTGGGGCAACCAAGCCTGTGCCACAACTACTGAGCCTGCCCACCACAACTAGAGAGAAGCCCACACACTGCAAGGAGGAGCCTGCGCACCACAACAAAAGATCCCGCATGCCGCAACTGACACGATGCATCCAAAATGAAAATAAATAAAATATTTTTAAAATAATAATAAAAAATAAAATAAAAATCTGCCAAGACAGAGAGCACTCTACTCTTTCAAGCAGTATAATCCTTGTGGGGCAATGGGAACCATCATCCAGTCCCCTTCTCCTCCCCAACCCAGGGCTGCCATTCCCCATCAGGAACCCAGAGCCTTTCCTTGTGTAAAACGGTTATCAGCCCGCAGGTGCTTTTGCTCTTTTGCCCTCTTCTGACCATTTTCCTGTTTGACCAAGACCAACTTGCAGAGGCGGTCCCACACCTGGCCTCCAGACTAGGAACCAACCCATGCCGAGCACCCCAATGTCAATGTTTTAGAGCTCTGAGCAAAGCAGCCACACCCTAGGTTTATGTCCTGAATGTCACACATGAACAGGCTGCCCCACATTCTCGAGCAAGCTGAATACCTTTTTTTTTTTTAAGATCCATGCAATTCAACACCCCTGTCTCCTCTGCAGAGCTAAGGCCAATAGGCCTCTTGCCACCTTTGGCTGCAGAGACCTAGGAGCCCATTTTAGGATTTGACCAGAAGCTGAGGATGTGCTCAGGGCCAAGTCCTTGGAGGGGGAACACAGGCCGTGGCGGGGATCGTCTTCATTGGCTCTAATCCTGCTACATTACTTTGAGCGACTGTAAGTCACTCCCAAAACCATGCACCCGCTCCATTTCCCTTCTTTCCTCCTCTTCCTCACTCTGAACAGGGAATACGCTGCTGTGATTCATGATGACGGAGTGAAGACCAAGCCTATGGAATGCACGATTCAGGAAGTCAGGTGTACTTTACACAGTAACAACTTCCCCAACCCTCTCTACCACCGCTCCCCAAGCCTCTCAAGGCCTCTGCCCGCCCTCTGCACACCCTCTGGCCTTCCCAAACCCCAGCCGCTCCCAGACTCAGAGCAATGCCAGGAAAAGGTTAAGAAACAGGACTGACTGGTTCCAGCCCTCCTGGCCCATTCCTAACCTCTCTGTTCCCCTAGGGCTTGGCACCGTGCCCACCACCAACACCCTCCTGCTCTACCAACTACCACTTCACACTTCCCTCACACTCAGGCCACCTGACTTTGGCTCCCCCACTCTCTCCTCCCTGAAACGTGTTGGATAACAATTAAATGTAATTCAGCAATGTTACCGTGAGGGACTGAATATACAAGTGGACAACCCCAGACCACACATAAAAATAGAACTCTGACCCATAATCTGCAGCCATCGGTCTAGGAAGTCAAACCACAAACTCTGTAACAATAAGTCCCAAGTGGTCAGGATTTAATCAATATTGGACAGCTTCCATAATTTTTGCCCACGCTTCAAACTTAGGACCAATCAGAGAAAGCCAAATACACTCCCCTAACCAATCACATGAGATGCCTACTGTCAGAGAGAAGCTATCTCCAGCTTCCCAATGGCAACATCCTCCAACCAACCCGGGCATACCTGAAACCTTCCTTTCTGTTCCACTGTAAAGTTTTTACACTCCCCGGCCTGCCTGTGAGTCTCTGACAAATGTAAATGACGATCGCTGACTCTTTTGCTAGAGCAAGCTCTGAATAAACAGCCTTTTCTCATTTGAGTGGTCTTCGTTTATTTCCATACCAGATTCCTAATACAAGCCACAGTCCCTACGCACAAGGAGCTCTTAGTCTAGTAAACAATTACATTACAATATGGTGTAAGTGTATAGAGCAAGGGTACCTTATAAATATGTATGTATATAAGTAAGTGTGTAGTGGCCCATGTAATACAGTACAGAGGGGCCTCCAGGAGGGAGGACAATTGGGCTGCTTTTGAAAAATGAACAGCACTAAGTAGCTAGCTGTGGGGGAAGGGAAGAGCTGTTCTCCATTCTTCTCCTTCCCTCTCCTCTCCCTATCGAGCTTTCCCACTTGTAGACCAACTTTGCTTTTTGACCTGCTCCAATAAATATCTCCTTTATTTTTCCATTTTCAGTTTCTCCCTCTACCCAATAATTCCCCTCATTCGTGCCGGAGTCTGCTTTACCACTTCCCCCAGCAAAATAATTTCTTGCACTGACCTGGCCAGCCCAACTGAACGCTAACTTCTCTTTCCTTCTATGTTCTATCTTCTTTAAAGAACATCTACTCTGCAGCCAAAGTCCTGCACTCACTTGAGCCCTCTGCATCTGGCTCTCACCCTCAGTGCTCTGCTAGCTCTGGCTTCCACTGACAGAGTCACCAAATCCAAAGCCTTGTTCTCCGTCTCCACTCACTTGGCTCCCCTTCCCCTGGTTTCCTTGATGCTCTACTAGCCCGGTCTTCCTCCAATCTCTGTGGCCACTGCTCTTTCTCCTCCATGTGCATCTACCATCTGAACTTAGTCTTTCCAAGAATCTGTCCTTGGTCCTCTTACTCTTATCAACCTCAAGGCTTCAAGTGACCATCGAGTCTCCATCATTTGCACACACTTACTGTCCACAGTCTCAACTCCCTGTTGGTTTCATCTCTCCAAAAGTCCTAGCATTACCTCGAATTCAGGATCTCCAAAACAACTAGGCATCTTTCTTCCAAAATCTTTTTTTCTCCTCCCATAGACCCATATACCCAAGTCACCCAGTCCTAAACCCTTAGTGTTCCAACTTCCCTTTTCTGTTCCTTTGCACCTTAACATCTGTCATTAAGTCCTTCCAGTTCCCTTTCTACCTTATCACCTACATGCAGTCCTCATCTCCCGCTGTCATGACTGTGGGGCCAGTCTTCCGGCCTCAGAACTTCTAGAACAGATATTACAACTTCCTCAATGGCCCTAAGCATCCAGTCAGTTCCCACATTGACCACTGCAAGGAAACCTGCCCTTAATCAAACCAGGTTCTACACAGTTGTAAATGATGGGGAAATGCCTGCATAAGGAGAGGGGGCTCATCCAGGTAACCCTGGCTTCCATTTCCCAAAATTCACCCCACAGCCGTTAAGCTGTTGCAGATGGATGGCCTTAGGTAGTTACTTTGTTCAACCATCTCAGGCCAGCAAGCCAATGGGACCCCAGTGGACAGTTTCCTAGGCTACAGTCTTAACACAAAGATTCTGAAATAGGCTCCAAGCACCTGCAAACTTTTACGCACACTGCCGTGGGAGACCAAGTTAGGGAAGGAAGTTAGAAAGCCCACCAGAGCATCTGATGTATAAAAATGGCCACTCCAGGAGGTTTGGCGGTCAAGAAAAACACCGTCCAGTGATGGTAAAAGTCCCAAGGTAAAGAGAATTGAGGGGAACAGGAGTCTGAGCCACAAAGTCCCCTCATATCTCCTTACACAGAATTTGCCATCCACTACGGGAGGAGTGTTTCATTTTATGAAGGAAGCTGGAAGCTTTTCTTATACCAGCTTTTACATCACTCCCTGTACTAAAAGCTGCAGTGATTTCCAATGGCTACTCACTGCCCAGGAACAACCAAGACTAAATGCCTTGGTCTGCCAACCACAACACCCTGCCGTCTGGTTAAATCCAATCTGCTTTTCTGCCCCCCATTTCCCACGCACCTCCTACAAACCAGTCAAACTGAAACACAGCCCCCATGCTTTCATGCCTTCGTGTGGTTCCTCACTTTGACCCCTCCACCTGGAATTCATTCATTCTACACGTATTTGTGGGGAGCTGCTCTGCCCTCTGCTGTGAGTTGGGGTGCCTTTTCCTCCTCTTCCCATAACCAAATATTACCAATTGTTGTTGGCCCAGTTCAAAGGTCACCTCATCCATGAGGCCACCAGATTCCCTTGGTCAGAAGTAGTCTTTCCCTCCTCTGACCACCCACCTCTTCAGAGCACTGATGGCGTTCTGCCTTTATTACAGTTATTTGCGTAAATGCCACCTCCCCTCTGTGTCTGAATCCTCTGCGTAACTCATACCACGTTCAACACTGCGTTCTGCAGGGGGAATAAAAACTACTCCAACTGCCTAGAAATGGCTTATTTGCTTGTCTGTCTTCTGCAGAATATGAGCTCAGTAAGGACCAGCACAAGGCCCTCGCACCCTTCACAGGGAAACTATTCAAGGACCATTCATCTGTTGAATGAATGGCTTAATAACTGCTTTATTCCCGTAAACTTCCTTACACTTCTTCCTCACCGTATTAGCATCTGGTTTTTCATCAAAGGGAAAAAATTAAAAGGTAGATAGACAACTGCTCCTGGTCAAGAATTTGTCGCGGAAAAGCCACAGCCGGGCCGGAAGCGTGACAGTGCAGGCGGAACGCCCTTCCACGCCCTCGCGCGCCAGGCGCGGCTCTCCTGAGGGGGAGAGAGCCTCTCCCCTCGCTCGCGCCCGGCCCCCACTCGCGCCAGGTCCCCCGGGGGCGCGGGCCGGGCGGCTGCGCATTTGTTTTCCGCAGCCCAGGACCGGGCCTGAGGCGGAGAAGCCCGCCCGGGAGGCCCTCCCGCTTCTCGGAGCCCCGCCCTCCGATCCCCCACCTGCGCCCAGCTACCAGGCTCCTCGCCAGCCCGGCCCAGGGGCGGGGGAGCGTCCGGGGCGCGCCCGGCATAGTCCGGGCCGCCGCGCCCCCACCCCGCGCCGCGCCTGCTCCCCGCCTGCACTCACCGTCCGCGCCCGGCGCTCGGGGCACGCCGAGGGCCAGGCTGAGCAGCGGCAGGAGCGGCAGCAGGCGCCCAGGCGGGAAGCCGGCGCCCCGGGGCCCCCGGGCCATGCCGCCGCCGCCGCCTCCCTCCCGGCGCGCCCGCGACTCCTCCTGCGGCCCCAAGGCGCCGAGATAAGGCGTCGGGCGCCCCGGGGAGGGGGCCGGGCGGGCCGCTTCCGGCGCCAAGCTAGGGAGCTGAGGGCTCTGCGGGGTCCTGGGGAGCGGCGGCGGCGGCGGTGCGCGGGCCCTTCCTCCCCGCTAGGCCCGCGCGCCGGAGTGACGCTCGTTCAGCCACTCGCGGCTTCACCTGGCCGTGCCCCCTGCTGCGCGCCGGGTACGCGGGGGGCCCGGGGACACGCTGCGGGTCCGGCTTAGTGACACAGCTGAACGTAGAGTCCCGGATTGTGCCAGAAGGAAACTGTCTCCCGTGCTCTAAGCGTGTGGAACGATCGCGGGATCCCAGGCGGTCGGGAGCTCAGGGAGGCACCCCCGGGGTGGCAAAGGAAGAGGGGTGAGGGGCAGAAGGAGCGGGAATCTTCCAGAAGCTGAAAGCGAGCCGGGCGACGTGGCTGGAGCTCCAAGGGCGAGAAGCCGCCAGTCCAGGCCACCCAGGGGCGACAGGCTTGACCAGGCGACAAGACCGTCTGGGGCGAGAGAGCTGGCAGGACTTCCTGCTGCTCCGAGGACACTCAGCTTGGGGCGTCAGGGAGGCTTCAGGAAGAAGTAAGCGAAGACCTGAGAGTGAGAAGGGCGCGGGAGAGGAGTCTAAGCGGTGAGAGGCGTGGGCAAAGAGACAGACTAGAGAGTGTATTCTAGCAATGGCGAGCAGGACCGCCTCAGATTGGAACGGACGGCTGGAGAGCGGCAGTGAGCTGCGGAAATAAAGAAGACTTCATAAAGCAAGTCAAGGAGGTCGCTCAGAAGCTGTCACGGGGTTTTCAGCAGCGCGACCTCATCAGGAAAGGCTCCCAGGGTCGGCTCTGTGGGATTGGGATTGGGTCTGAGGAGGCAGGGAGACGGCCTGGAGCTGCTTCAGGGCTCCAGACAAGAGAGGACACGTCCAGGAGCAGGGCACTGACAATGAGTGTGGAGAGAAGTGGCAAATGAGAGTGGTATTGGGTGGAATCCACTGGATTTTATGGCCAGTGGACTGTGGTGGACAAGGAAAGAGAAATTACAGATGTCACCGAAACTTTTGGTTTGGGCAACTGGGTTGATGGTGGCAGGAGCCACTGAGACAGAAACACAAAGGGAATTGTGGCAAGTTAGGGTAGAGGCTGCAGGGGGAGAAAAAATAAGTTCCAGGTTGAAGGCTTTGAGCTCGAGATGTCTGTAGGGCTCCCCAAGAGCAGAGCCTTCCACTCCTTCACCCATCTCCTCACTTGCTTTCTCTCTGTGCCTTGAGCCCACTCTAACCCTAACCACCCATGAACACGCCCATATAAGGGTTCAACTTGTGCAGCCTTAAAAAGAAGTCGTTAAAAATACACTTCCGAGGCCCTTTTGCAGCAGGCTTTCTTGCTAATTATTTTTTGCTCAGCAAAGATAAGAGCCTGCTTTGGGGAGTAGGAGATGGACAGTGCAGGTAGTGCAAACTATCTCCTATTATTTAGACAGTTTCTTTGTTAAGCTCCGCTCTCCATGAACTTTGAAATCATGTCACTGTTTCAACAAAAAATACATTCAAGACATTTTTAAGCCAACCTATACTTCTCCTTCTCTGCCATGCTCCCCTGAAAAAGAAATAAATTTAAATACATTTGTGTATATATGTGTATAAGTATATATATATATATATATATATATATTTTTTTTTTTTTAATTGGTGATGTCAGGGAAAAGTATCCAAAACTTGGAAATGGGCAAAAGAGATTACTGGATGTCTTTTCAGTGGGGTGCTGGGTGTTGTGTAGTAGCCCTTCTGGAGATTGATTCTAGAGGGTTGTGCACCTTTGATGGACTTTCTATTGACTAGGCTATTTATAACTCTATAGGGGTAAAGTTAACTTGCAGAAAGTTGATGATAATGCAAAAGATTCTTGTCCATAGCAATGCAAGTTAATTTTTCCAGTAGAGATATGGGTGATTTCTGCCAGATAAAAAATAAGATAAACCTAATTAGATTTTGTCTTATATGATATAAATCAGTTACCCAGTTTGGCATCTATTAGCAAATTCATTTCATCATTCCTAACTGAAATATATGTAATATATATACATATATGTTCTTCACATTTTCCTTTAAACCTTATTATCTTACTAGTTCTCCTTTGAAGTCAACATCTTGCTGAGTCCCTCATGAATTGGTTAAATAAAATCTTAGATAAGTTTTCATTGTATGTTTGCATGAACCATGTTTTTTAAATTTTGAAAATTTTACGTTAGTACAATACATTATACTCATATTCTACGTTAGATTGTGTGACTTTTATCAGTTCTTTCTATTGGCTCATTTTTTGCTTTCAAACAAATATTTTTTTGCAAAAAAAAAAAAAAAACTACATCCTACCCAATGATGAGTTCATGGAACCACAGAATAAAAAATTATCTCCTCATCAGTATTTGTCACTAGAATTAAAAGAGAATATTGAACCAGCGTTAAATTTGGAGCAATGAGATCATTGCCGAGAAAGTATTTAGCTTAAGAAAAGTGTTCTTCTTTTAAGAGAGCACGACGAATACACAAATATCTTCTAAAAGAGAATTTAGAGAGAGCTCTTTTTTTCCATGATATCAAGATTTTAATGACTTAGTCTAAGAAAAAATTGACTTTTGGTTTCAAGATGGCATCATAAACCCTGAAAGATCTCTCTCCCCTGCTTCCCAAATCCCAGTAAATACACAGATACACACACCCAATTAAGTATGCAGAAGTGATTTCAAACAGGAGAGAATGCCATCAGTGGAGCAGATAGCTTTGAGAACTGCACTGGATTAGATTTGCCACGTGGCCTCCACAAAAATGTCCACTAAAAGAGATGGGAGGTGGGGTTAAAAAAAAAAAACTAAAATACATGTAATTTAAAATTGTTTTAAATTATATGCACACTTCAAGTTACTATTTGTACATATTAACACAATGTTCATATTTTTAGGGGTTTTTTGTTTTGTTTTGTTTTGTTTTCTTGGCCGCGCTTCGTGGCATGTGGGATCTTGTTTCCCCCACCAGGGGCTGAAACTGCACACCCTGCAGTGGAAGCGCAGACTCTTAACCACTGGACTGCCAGGGAAGGCCCTGTGCAGGTTTTATAATATTTTCAGATTTACTCCAGAGCCACTATGTAGGAATTGTTGGGAAAAAAATGCATAGTACACTTTTTACCAGTTCAAAGTATTTTATTTTCCTCATCTGTGTACATATTGTTCACTACAGTCTGCTTCTTCAGGCTTCGGGCCACCAAATGCCAGTTTCCTGACTCTCCAGAAAAACTATCATTTTCCACACTTAAAAAAATAACTTCTAGGGCTTCCCTGGTGGCGCAGTGGTTGAGAGTCCACCTGCCGATGCAGGGGACACGGGTTCGTGCCCCAGTCTGGGAAGATCCCACATGCCGCGGAGCGGCTGGGCCCGTGAGCCATGGCCGCTGTGCCTGCGCGTCCGGAGCCTGTGCTCCGCAATGGGAGAGGCCACAACAGTGAGAGGCCCGCGTACCGCAAAAAAATAAAATAAAATAAAAAATAACTTCTAACTTTTTAAAAAGTTATTTTATAGTAATTTACTCATCAGTGAGCCTTCATGTGATTAGATAAAATATTTAAATCCTACCTAAAATATTGAGATTACTGACTGATCCGTGGAAGTGACCTTAAAGTACATCAAGCAGGTATACATAATCCAGAGAGCTTCCCAATTTGTTCCTGTTTCCCATCGTCGAAGGTTAAGAAATATTGAAGTCTATCTTAATGCATCTTGCTACACAATCAAAACATTCAATGACAACAAAGAACACCCATGCTCACAGCAGCATTATTCACAAGAGCCAGAGGGTGGAAACAACCCAAATGTCCATCAAATGATGAATGGATAAACAAAATGTGGTAGAGCCATACAATAGAATATTATTCAGCCTTAAAAAGGAAGTAAATTCTGACACATGCTATATTGTGGATGAACCTTGAGGGCATTATGTTAAGTGAAATAGGCCAGTTAAAAAAGGACAAGTACTGGAAATTCCCTGGCGGTCCAGGGTTTAGGACTCCACCCTCTCACTGCCTAGGGTCCTGGGTTCTATCCCTGGTCAGGGAACCAAAATCCCACAAGCCTCATGGCCAATAAAATAAAATAAAATAGGATAAGTACTGTAAGTTTCCACTTATGTGAGTTACTTCGAGTAGTCAAATTCATAGAGACAGAGAGTAGAAGGGTGGTTGCCAGGGGCTTGGGGGATAGGGGAGTGGGAAGTTGATGTTTAATGAGTAGAGAGTTTCAATTTTGCAAGATGAAAAAATTCTGTGGGTGGGTCATGCTGATGGTTGCAAATCAAGGTGAACGTATGCCGCTGAACTGTACATTTGAACATGATTAAAATGATTTTAAAAATCAATGAGAAAAAAAACATAGGTACCAATTTTTATTTTACCAGGCAGGCACTAACATGTAGGACTCCCCATATCAATTTTGGATCCTGGGAAATCAGAATTATAGAAAAGGTCCCTTGGAAAGCCCCATCCCCCAACCCCTGAGACGTAAATGGATAGGATTCCTAGAGATCCCTGAACGGGCTATGAGGCAGCCACGGGTGTGGGCAGGAGGAGGGCAGGAAAATACAAAATGAACACCGGCCTAGTATCTCTAGTGTTTTCCCCCAGGCAACTCTTCAGTGTGTCTGCTTACAATGTAAAGTTTGGGGTTTGCCTGGTGGGTTATCATCTGGATAAAATATAAAGCCAGAAGGAGAAGAGGGACAGGGAGGCTGGATACCATATATCCTGGAACTTTCCTGGAAAAGTCCCTTGCTTGGTCATCACACTCCTGACCAGAAATGACGTACTGCTTTTCCCAGAGGCTGGCTTGGGCATGCTACTAGCGGGCTTGCAAATTGTAAATAAATTGCTCATCTGTGGGTATTCCGGGAATGGTTTGAATATCTAATTCTAATGAGTTGGATATACTCTGGTGTTGAACTTATTGCTTGAAGTTTGCATTACCAGGAATGATTTAAATGTTGAAGCCTTTGAATGATGTTGGTTGAAAATTAGAGTGTTTGAAACAGATAAAATCACTCCCTCTGTAACTCCACGCTCACACACATTTGTCACACACATCTATCCCTAGCTGACATGACATCTGAGAACACCGCAAGGCCGCCTGAAAGGGGCCACATTGACCCTCCCAGAATGGAGTCATCCTCTCAAGCAGATTTGTCCCATTGATAACAGGGACCTGTCTCTATGGAGAAATGCCCTGCTGATGACTGTCTCTAAGTCAAGTACTGGTAGACTTACCATTCTTTTTTTTTTTTTTAAGATTTTTTTGATGTGGACCATTTTTAAAGTTTTTATTGAATTTGTTACAATATTGTTTCTGTTTTATGTTTTGGTTTTTTGGCCACGAGGCATGTGGGATCTTAGCTCCATGACCAGGGATCGAACCCTCACCCCCTGCATTGAAAGGCAAAGTCTTAACCACTGGACCGCCAGGGAAGTCCCGACTTACCATTCTTTTTTTTTTTTTTTTTTTTTGCGGTACCCGGGCCTCTCACTGTTGTGGCCTCTCCTGTTGCAGAGC